ATTATGTGAGGATATTTGTTGTCATGTGAACATGATTTTAGATATTTTTTGCTATTTTCTACTATGTTGGGATTTTTGTTGCCATTAATTAAAGCTTTTGCAATCAGTGGCGTAAAACATGAGACAATGAATCTTCTTTTTGAGATTTCGATGCTAACTTATATGAATGGATAAATATTTGACATTACAATCTTCATTCATATGGAAAACTTTAAGTTATGGTAAGTGGATGAGTTGTATTGGATTGGTGAAACTTCAAACCCCACAAAAATAGATTTCACACTCCACGAAAATTGTTAAAGTATGGTTATATTTTCTTATATATTTATAATGAGATATTTAAAAAAAAAAAAAAAAACGTTCCACGAAAATTGTACAGAAGTCCCCAAGATTAATTAATAGACAAGTTAAAAGAGTACGCATTTTGCTCTCACAAAATCTCTATATATAAAATACCAAAAGTTCACAAACAATTATCCCACCTCTCCATGGCTTCACAATATGAATTCCTTTGTGTGTGGTTTGCGTTTATCTCTATCTCCCACCTTATGACTGCAGTAGAATCCGATACTTACATTGTCCACATGGACAAATCAGCCATGCCCAAAGCCTTTTCTGGCCAACATAATTGGTACTTAGCCATCCTAAATTCTTTGTCGGTAAATTTTCCTAGTAAGACTGACTCTCTGGTTGCCTCATCTAAGCTTATATATAGTTATACTAATGTTATTCAGGGCTTTAGTGCAAGTCTTTCACCAGAAGAGCTTGAGGCCTTGAAAAACACTCCAGGGTATGTTTCTTCTATTAGGGACTCACCTGTTAAGCTTGATACCACTCATTCATCCCAGTTTCTTGGCTTGAATTACAACTCCGGTGCTTGGCCGGTGTCTAGCTTTGGCAAAGATGTCATCATTGGGGTGGTTGATACCGGTGTTTGGCCAGAAAGTGAAAGCTTTAATGATGATGGAATGACTGAAATTCCATCCAGGTGGAAAGGGGAATGTGAGAGTGGCACCCAATTCAACTCCTCATCGTGCAACAAGAAGCTCATCGGAGCTAGGTTCTTCAACAAAGGCCTAATTGCCAACAATCCAAATCTCACAATCCAAATGAACTCTCCACGTGACACCGACGGACATGGGACACATACTTCCTCAACGGCCGCTGGAAATTATGTACGGAATGCATCATACTTTGGCTATGCCACTGGAACTGCCTCAGGAATGGCCCCGAAAGCTCGGGTGGCCATCTATAAAGCTATCTGGGATGAAGGCAATTCTGCATCTGATTTAATTGCTGCAATCGATCAAGCAATCATCGACGGTGTTGACGTGCTTTCCTTGTCCTTGGGACAGGACCATCTCGAATTGTACAATGACCCAATAGCAATAGCCACATTTGCAGCCGTAGAGAAGAACATTTTCGTCTCTACATCGGCCGGAAACCATGGGCCACGCTTTGGGATCCTACACAACGGGAACCCTTGGGTTCTAACTGTCGCCGCAGGTACCATGGATCGAGAATTGGGTGCTGTTTTAACTCTTGGAAATAAAGTTTCTGTCTGGGGATGGAGTCAGTATCCTGGAAATTTTACGTCTTCGACCCAACTTCCAATCGTTTTCATGGATAAATGTGATGATCGAACTGAATGGAATAAACTCCGTAAAAAGATTGTCGTTTGTGAGGACAAAAACAACTTAATCGGTGCTCAAATCTTCAACATGTTGGATGCCAATGTTACTGGAGGGGTCTTGATATCCAACAGCTCTGATGCAGACGTATGGTATCAGAGCCCATTTCCAGCCATTTTCTTGACGCCAAAAGACGGTGAAACCGTCAAAGACTACATTAAGAGGAATGCCAAGCCGAGCGCAACCATGGAATTTCAAAAGACCTCCTTGGGGACTAAACCAGCCCCCATTGTGGCTATGTACAGCTCTAGAGGACCATTCTTGGGCTGCCCATATGTCCTGAAACCTGACATTATGGCTCCTGGAACTTTTGTCCTGGCATCCTGGCCTGAAATTATTCATTCGGCGCGATTGAGGTCGAATGTTCTGTATGGGAAATTCAATATACTTTCTGGTACGTCCATGGCATGTCCACATGCAGCTGGTGTGGCAGCACTGCTGAAGGGGGCGCACCCAGAATGGAGTCCAGCAGCAATCCGATCAGCCATGATGACCACATCCGATTCAATAGATAACACTGGTCGTTCAATCAAAGATATTGGTAACAATTACCTTACTGCCTCGCCTCTAGCCATGGGTACAGGGCACATTAATCCAAATAAGGCTCTAGACCCTGGTCTCATTTATGATGCTACCATTGAGGATTATGTCAATCTTCTCTGCGCATTGAATTTCACATCCAACCAAATCCAAACCATCACAAAGTCATCTTCCAACAATTGCTCCTCACCGTCATTGGATCTCAATTACCCTTCCTTCATCGCCTTCTTCAATACCAATGACTCAAAATCAAATTCAAAAACCGTGAAGGAATTTCAAAGAACGGTAACTAACGTTGGGATTGGGATGTCTACTTATACAGCAACATTGACACCAATGGAAGGATTTAAGGTCAGCATCACACCTGAAAAATTGATTTTCAAAGAGAAGAATGAGAAGCAGAGTTACAAGGTCACTATAGAAGGCCCAAGAAAGATGGAAGATTCAGTTGTTTTTGGTTATCTCAGTTGGGTTGAAGCTGGAGGCAAACACGTGGTCAGGAGTCCCATTGTGGCCACGAGCATGAAACTTGATAAGTAGTGATTGTATTTTTCTATTTGAATAAAATTAGCTTTAGTACATTTAAATCCTCAATAAATTTAGCAGAGCAGGCAATTCAGCTTTGCTAGTTTTAGATACTGGATAGGGTCTTTCTGTGTGATGTGGTCGAGACACCTTAGCCGTTGTTGCAAAACCTGGGTTTTTTCATATTTTTTCAAAGGAATTGAAATAATGAGAAAGTAAAATTAGGTTGTTTTTTAATGGGTGAAAATTTATTAATAAGTGCATCAGTCACTTAAGTAATAAAGTGATAAATCGAATATAGTTCTCATGGAAATTATGATTAAGTATAAAAAAATTACTAATTTTAAAATTATTTGAACAATTAAAAAAGAAGTTGTTCTAACTAAAATTAATTAAAAAATAATAATAATTTAAAATAAAATTCTCAAGATATGAGTTATTGAGGCATCTATTTCATCATAATCAATTAATATAAATTTTAAATTATTATATTTTAAAAATATTTACCACTTATATAATAGTGAGATTTTTTTATTTTATTCAATATATTTTTTCAAATTATAGTAAACATATCTTTATATATTAACTCATTATATGTCTGTGTAAATTTAAATTAGTAAAGATGTATTATAGTTTATGAAATTCTTTAATTTACATAAAAAATTAAATTTACTTATCATTAATATTACATAAATTATGTTGGTTTATTTCTACTTTTTATTCAATTTATAATATATATTATTAAAAAATTATTGTATAAAATCTACTTAGTCTTAATTATGTTCTTCAAAACAATTTTTGTGGTGATTAAGTATTAAAAAATATTAAGAGCAATAATAAATAATTATCATAAAATAGTAATTTTAGAAGTATAAAAATCATAAAAATTTATATTAAATTAAT